GCGTCACGGGCAAAGGCTTCTGGAGTCCCACAGCCCCGCTCAGGCGCAAACTGCTTGGAGCCATGGGCAACCCGAACAAAACAAAGACGCCGAGGAACGCAGCAAGAGAGTGGAAACGAGCAGCAACTACCAAACCAAGGAGACGGCTTCAAAAAGGGGGTCCTCCTGCCGCCACGGGGGAACTCAGCTGGTCGCGACGCTCTCCGCCGCGCGGCCTCTGACAGTGGCCCGCGCCACGGCCCGCCGGGCGACGGACAGAACACAGCAGGAAAGAACACGCCCGGAAGGACCCTGGCCATCGCTCGGACGTCCATTCCCTGTGTGTGTTTTTTCGGTCTCGTGCGTGGTTTTTGTTTTCGCCAAATGATCGAGGATGCTCCTCGATGGCCCTCGCCGAAGGAAGATTGCACACGCCCGAGCGATGCCAAGGACCGTGGTGCGCAACAGGAGCACAGCGCCGCCACCCGACGCCCGGTGACCGCCACGCAGAGGCCGCACGACTCGGGAGCACGGGATACAGTCGGGGCGTTGACCTAAGAACCCAAAATAAGGACCGAGGCCCCTTTTTCCCATAAGTTAAAACTTCGATGTCCCATCGAAGCCCTAAGCAAAACCCAAGGCGAACCACAAAACCACTAAGGAACGCCGAGCCCCTCCCCAACGAAAAGGGTTCCTTCCTCAGCGCCCCGACTGCAGCACCACGTGCCGCGGTGTGCCTGCGAGCGGCCCAGCTTCGGCGCGGCGCTGCGTGGCGCCTCTGCTGCGGGGCGCGTCCACAGGAGACGCTCCGGCCAGCACCGCGAGGAACGCCACGAGCGCCGAGGACGGGGCGAAGACCGCCTGGAGAGAAGCCGAGAGCCGGAAGCCGATCGTCCAGCAAGGTCGCATCGACAATGCCTCGCGCACTGAATCCAATGGAACACGCAACAGCACAACAACACGAAACAACGGCCGCGCCGTTTGTCTCCCCCCGGGGAGGAAGCGCGGCGCGACGACGCGGAGCAGGAGACGGCCGCGGCGCAGAACACGCTCACGAAAGAAAAGAGAGGAGGGGTGGGGTCAGACTTGCGTTAGGTCGGGCATGTCCCAAAACGAGACATCAAAAATGGACGAACAGCTAAACATACAATTATTGGACGAAACCTTAAACATTAAAAAGAATACGAACACCTTAAAAGTATAGAAAACATTGCAATGAATACGAATACGCAAAAAATGCCCTGTTGGCGGATTTTGGATGAAAAATTGAAGTTAATAAACAATGCCCCAAAGTGGTCAGACATCTGGGCCGCGCCGCACGCCCAGTGTATACCTGGTTGGGTCCTCTGTATCCCGTGGATGGTGCCCAGGCGCTTTTTGAAAAAGGCGCCCAGGGGCACACAACTCGATACACAGAGAAATCCCAGGACTCCCCAGATGTTCAAACCTCTGCGGGGGGTTCGTCTTCCCCCCCCCCCACACTTCCCATAATTCCCCCATGCTTTCCTGGGGGTCGGCGATGGATTGTGTTTGTGTGTGTGTCTCCCCTCCTGAGCTTCTCGGCCTCCGCAAACCATTCCTCCACCAAGAGCTTTCGTGTTCCATATGCGGGTGCCATCCGCGCTGCGATACGTTGGGCGAGTGGATGCCGAAACAAAATGTGCGCGGACACGCATCTTGTTCATGACGGCTGCGAACGGTGATGAACAGTATCCTCTTCAGTGCCATGTGGGCGCGAGCGTGCGTCTAGTCTTTGTCTGAAACCTCTGAACCTTCACAGGTGTGCGTGAAATCCATTGATGGGTGTTGCAGAAGCCCTAGTTATAGGTAGCCAGAGGAGGAGGAGGAGGAGGAGGAGGAGGAGGAGGAGGAGGAGGAGGATAATCTCTTCTCGCTCCTCTCTCTCCTCCTCCTCCTTTTCTCTTTCTCCTCCTGCTCCTCATCCTACTCAACACTGCTATGCACAGGACTGCATGTTTTTTGGGGGGGAGGCCGCCAAGCCTTACGATACACAAATGCTTGTTGTTGGTTTCCGGAGGTCCAAAAACTTGCCCAGGAACGCCTGCGGCAGGAGCATCCCGCCAAACACTACTGTACACTCGTGTTGCTTCTACGCTGGGGTACCACCACGCCCTGCTACACATAGTGTATCGCTGGTGTGCAAAAAGGTCTGCACACGTTGGCCAGGCCAACTCACGTGGACCTCTTGAAAACAAAAGAAAAGAAACAGTGCGTATTAGTGTTGAATGATGTCCCCGACCAAACAAACAAACAAACAAACACGTGTCTATCATAATTTGGTGGGCCTACTCGTGCCGCAAACGCTCCTTACAAAAATGTGCGGACCTCTTGAACACCAAACACACACAGAAAACCAAACGATTCATAAAGTTTGGGGGCATCACACAAAACATCGTGTACACCACTGGTGTGCGGTATCCGGGCATCGCCAGATCAGGAGGAGGATGAGGATGAGGAGGGGGAGGAACATGAGCACGAGGAGGCGGAGCCGACAATGATGATCATACAAAGTGGCAAAGAAGAGAAACGGCGACACGGAGGGCACAGGGACATGAGAGTAAGAAACAGAAAAAGCAAAAGAGATGTATGATGCCAGGGGGCGACCAATTATGCATACATAGGTATGGGCACTTCCTCTGCACATACATAAACATCGATGTGCACACATGTCTTCCACAAACGGGTTAACCTAGAAACATACATCTGTACACATATACACATTGCATAAACAATTGGCTGATTGTGTGTACGTGTGCGTGTGCAAGCGAGGGCCCTGGACAACGACTGCTTGCACTCTGACTATGCAAGAACTCTGGTGCAAGCTAGGGTGTGCAAACAATGTGGTGCACGCCATGTGGTGCAATCTACATGTTTCCACCCATTACAAGCTATGGTGGGCAAGCTGTGTCCACCAATGTATGCGGTGCAAACTATGAGGCACCTGAAACTGTGTTGAAACGTATGTCGTGCAAGCGACGCCGTGTGAGGCACTCTACGTAATACAAGCTATTTGCTGGAGGCTATGCGGTGCAAGCTGAGTGGTGTACGTCAACTGGTACATATAAACTATTTGGTGAAGCGACGTATTGAAAACAATGTGACACATGCTACGTGGTCCAAGCTATGTGGTGCAAGCTATGTGGTGCAAGATATGTGGTGAAAGCTAGGTGGTGCGATCGATGTCGTGGAAGCTGTAATACAAACTACGTGGTGAACGCTATGTTGTGGAACATATGTCCAATCATGCGGTGCAACCCATGCTGTGTAAACAACATAGGTCAAGACGCAACTATGCCGTGCAAGCTGCGTAGTGTAAGACATGGAATGCAAACTATATGTTGTAGACTATGCAATGTACGCTATGCGAGATACGCTATGTGGAGCAAGCCATGTGATGCAAGCTATGGACACATAAAAGCACTGCGGTGAAAACTATGTGACCCAAGCTATGTGATGTTTGCTGTGTCGTCCGAGCTCTGCGGTGCAAGATGTGCGGTGCAATCTATGTGGTGCAAGCGATTTGGCGCAAGCTAGATGGTGTAAGCTATGCAGTACTACCTATTTGGTGCAAGAGATAGGGGGCAACCTATGTGGTGCAAACTATGGCGATGTGGTGCGAACCACTTGGTGCGAATTATGTTGTGCGAGCCGTGAAGTGCAGCGATGAGGTGCAACGCATGCCATGAATTACATGTGGTGCAAGCTATGTGGTGCAGGCGATGTGGCGCAAGCTACGGTGGACACAGCTATGTTTCCAACATAGCATCGGTTTCTTACAATGCAATACAAACTATGTGGTGTGGTGGAAACTATGCGGTGTACACTGCGTGGGACATGCTATTCGGTGCAAGCCATGTGGTGCAAGCTACTTTCAAAACCTCTGGTACAAACTATATGTGGCGCACGCTACGTGAAGCAAGCTGCCCCGTGCATGATCTGCGGCGGAAGCAATGCTGCGCAAGCGACTCGGTGGAGGCCACGTGGCACAAGCTGTGCGGTGTAGGCTCTGCGGCTTTGGGTTCCTGGTGCAAATCATGAACTGCATGCCCATGCTACGTGTTGCAAACCGTGCGGTGCCGGCTGTGCGGTGCCAGCTGCGTGATGCAAGCCCCACCGAACGCACGGGACGCCCACGAGGCGCACACCCCGGTCGGGCACCGGGCGAACATGCGGAACCCACCGCCAGCGCATGGGAGGCACACAAGATGCCCGCGGGCGGGGCAGCGGCCCGCAGTCTCTGAGGGTCAGCAGCCACAACGCACGGGGCGCCCACGGCGAGGCGCCGGCCGAAGAGCTCTGGTCATCCCAGCCTAACGCACAGGGGCGACCACGAGGCGCCCATTGCCAAGCGACAGCCGGAAGCCCGGAGAACTGTCCAGTGGCTGAAGAGAGACAGGAACCCAAAGTGCGAGACTGAATACGTGCAACGTGCGCATGGGCGACGAGAGAACACGGGTCTTACGCGAGATTGCTTATCGACCTTACGTGGCGGCTTACGCGCGGGCCGCCAGCCTCACACGCCACATCGGACACGCGGGCGTTTACGCGACCTTACGCGGGCAGCTTACGCGCCAATGTTGGCGCAGACGATCCCGTCTTGTGCGTCGCTCACATCATTTGCAGGTGAGGTCCATTCATGCCTGCGCGTTCTTAGCTTATCCAGTATGTCTGCGTGCAGGCATATCACGACGGAAATTATTGTTTTGCATGAGTCCAGCGATACTAACAAACCCAGGGGTACGGAACAGCTTGGTCGGACTACACCTTCGCAAATGATGTCCGAATCCAGGGCGATGGCGAATACAACGTGGTTAAATTAGGGGGTGGATCGACTGTGATGCATTGATCTTGGTTGTGGAAACGACGGTCGCTGCTAGGGTTTGTTATCCACCGTGTGGCATTAAGAGCTCGTTCGAGAATTACTGCAGTGGCCGAAAATACCAGGATGATGTGCATGACGGCGACGGTTTAGATGGTGGCGAGGCGGGGATGCAATGTTTTACGGCGCACCCTTTCCGTATGGGTATCGGCCCCGGTCGAAAAAGAAGGGCAGACTGAGAAGGAGGAAAGAAAGAAGCGAGCGGATGTGGTACGGCTGGTTCCTGTGGTGTCGACATGGACGCTTTCATTCTGACACGCGTGGATCGTCTACCCAGCGGACCTTTGCAAAATTGGTCTGGTTCATGCCGTCGCTGGCCTTCAACCGTGAGCGCCCGCGTTGCCGCATCGACGCGACGCCAACCTGCCGCAGGATAGACGAGGAGAAGAAAAGAAGGCTTGTAGCCCAAGGGAAAACGCGAGCTGCGGAGGCTGTCCCACGAGTGGTGCCCACTCTGACCTCACTTCGCCCTGAGCGCCATGAAGCAGAAATCCACCACCGTGCTGGCCTGCAAGGCGTGGGCGTGGAAGAATGCCAAGTGCTGCCTGGTGGGGCCTCACTTTATAGAATCCCCCCCCCTCACCAAGCCCACGCGCATGCAGCGGCCTCCCATCCCGAACCTCCTGGCACGAAGCTCGGTGGCGGAATTCGCCGGAAGCACCTACATCCGCCGCCCCCTGTGGATTCATCACAGGGGTGCCTGGCGTGCAAGACGATTTCGGTTTTGGTTTTGGTTTTCTGGGGCTCCGGCGCAATCCGCCGGGGTCCCGGGAAGGACCTCAAACCGGAAAAAAATCCTCCATGACGGCTCAAGATGGCGCCAAGATGGCCACGTTGGCCCAAGATGGCCTCCAAGATGGTTCAAGATGGCCTCTAAGTCCGCCCAAGATGGTCCAAGACTGCCTCCAAGACGGCCCAAGAGAGTCCAAGATACCTCCAAGTTCGTCCAAGAAGCCTCCAAGACGGCCCAAGGCCTCCAAGACGTGCTCCAGGGGAGCCCGAAGAGGCCAAAATAATAGATTTTCGATTCGTTTTTGAAGGATTCTGGCATAGGCTTCTTCTAAGCCTTGCCACTGCCCAAGATGGCCCGAGAAGCCCCCAAGATCGCCCCCAGAACACCCAAGAGGCCTCCAAGATGGCCCCAGGACGGCCCAAGAGGCCTGCAAGACGGCCCCAAGAGGGCACAAAGACGACCCAAGAGGCCTGCAAGACGCCCAAGATGGCCTCTCAGACTGCCCTGGAACACCCCAAGAGGGCCCCAAGTCGGCCCAGAAAGGCCCCCCAAACGGCTTCCGACGGCGTCAGACGGGCCAAGAGCCCACCAAGATGGCCGAAGTTGGCTCGAAGCTGGCCCAAGAGGCCTCCAAGAGGGCCTCCAGGAAGGCCAGAAAAATGCCCCAAAAATTGATGTTCCATAGGTGTTTGAAGGATTGTGACATTTGCTTCGTTTCGGCCTTCCGACGGCCCGATACGGCCCAAGAGCTCCCAAAGACCGCCCAACGATCGCCCAAGATGCCTTCAAGGTGGCCCCAGAACGGCCCAAGAGGCCCCCAAGACGACCCCAAGAGGCCCCCAAGACGGCCCAGGAAGCTTTTAAGACGCCCAAGATGGCCGTCTAGGCATTCCAAGAGGGCCCCAAGTCGGCTCAGAGAGGCCCCCCAAACGGCTTCCGACGGCGTCGGACGGGCCAGGGGTCCACCAAGACGGCCGAAGATGGCACTAAGATGGCAGAGGGCCTCCAGGAAGGCCCGAAAAAGCTAAAATCATTGATTTCCCATGACTCATTGAAGGATTGTGGCATTTGTTATTTTTCGGCCTTCCGACGGCCCGAGACGGCCCAAGTGCCCCCAAAGACCGCCCAAGAGGCCCAAGACGGCCCCAAGAGGCCCCCAAGACGGCCCAAGAGGCCTCCAAGACGCTCAAGATGGCCTCCCAGACGGCCCAAGAGCCCTCCAAGACGTCCTCCAAGAAGGCCCGAAAGGGTCAAAATGGCCTCCAGGCGGCCAAGATGACCTTCAAGATGCCCACGTGTTCCCCGAAGGCTTTCCAAACCGATTCGCGGAACACTGGTCCGATAGCTTGGCAGGTCTGGCCTCAACGTTCGGTCACATAGGCGCTTCCAAAAAGGCAGGAGGCGGCGGTGACTCGCGGTAGGCGTCTTCGATCCGCCGCCCCCTGTTGCTTGCAAGAGGGGTGCCTGGCGTGCTGAATCCTTTCGGTTGAACTCCGCCTGGGGCTCCGGCGCGTCCCGCCGGGGTCCCGGGAGGATTGCCACGGAGCATAATTCCCCTAATGTTTCCTCCAAGACGGCTCCAGATGGCCTCCAAGATGGCCATGTTGGCCCACGATGGCATCCAAGATGGTCCAAGATGGCCTCCAAGTCCGCCCAAGAGAGGAGGAGATGCCTCCCAGTCCGCCCGAGAAACCTCCAAGACGGCCCAAGACGGCCCCCCAGAGGCCTCCAAGACGGCCCAAGAGGCCTCCAAGAGGTCCTCCAGGAGGGCCCGAAGAGGCCAAAATCATTGATTTGCCATAGGTCTGTGAAGGATGTTGGCATTTCTCGGCTTTCCGACGACCCAAGACGGCCTGAGAGGCCCCCGAGATCGCCCCCAGAACGCCCAAGAGGCCTCCAAGATGGCCCCAGGACGGCCCAAGAGGCCCCCAAGACGGCCCCAAGAGGGCACAAAGACAACCTAAGAGGCATCCAAGACGCCCAAGATGGCCTCTAAGACTGCCCTGGAGCACCCCAAGAGGGCCCCAGTCGGCCCACAAAGGCCCCCCAAACGGCTTCCGACGGCGTCAGACGGGCCAAGAGCCCACCAAGATGGCCGAAGTTGGCTCGAAGCTGGCCCAAGAGGCCTCCAAGACGGGCTCCAGGAAGGCCAGGAATTAACAAAAAACATTGATATTCCGTAGGTTTTTGAAAGATTTTGACATTTACTTCTTTTCGGCCTTCCGACAGCCCGATACGGCCCACGAGCCCCCAAAGATCGCCCAAAGATCGCCCAAGATGCCTTCAAGATGGCCCCAGAACGGCCCAAGAGGCCCCCAAGACGACCTCAAGAGGCTCCCAAGACAGCCCAGGAGACATTTAAGACGCCCAAGATGGCCGTCTAGACAGCCCTGGAGCATTCCAAGAGGGCCCCAAGTCGGCTCAGAGAGGCCCCCCAAACGGCTTCCGACGGCGTCGGACGGGCCAGGGGCCCACCAAGACGGCCGAAGATGGCACTAAGATGGCCCAAGACGGTCCAAGAGGCCTCCAAGAGGGCCTCCAGGAAGGCCCGAAAAGGCTAAAATCATGGTTTCCCATGAGTTGTTGAAGGTTTGTGGCGTTTGTTATTTTTCGGCTTCCGACGGCCCGAGACGGCCCAAGTGCCCCCAAAGACCGCCCAAGAGGCCCAAGACGGCCCCAAGAGGCCCCCAAGACGGCCCAAGAGGCCTCCAAGACGCTCAAGATGGCCTCCAAGACGGCCCAAGAGCCCTCCAAGACGTCCTCCAAGAAGGCCCGAAAGGGTCAAAATGGCCTCCAGGCGGCCAAGATGACCTTCAAGATGCCCACGTGTTCCCCGAAGACTTTCCAAACCGATTCGGGGAACGCATGGTCCGATAGGCAGGTCTGGCCTCAACGTTCGGCCACACAGGCGCTTCCAAAAAGGCAGGGGGCGGCGGCGATTCGCCGTAGGCGTCTTCGATACAGTGTGGCCGCAGTCGACGTCGCGACGCACCAACCAGCCCTGGCAAGATACCCTCCCCTTCAGGGGAAGCGTCCTCCCGTGGCAAGATAGCGCGACGTGACACGGAAGCCAGCTGTGGCATCCCGGTGGAGTGCAGCACCGAGGCCCAGGGAGCAGCCCAGGACCGGTGCGGCCCCGCTGCCAAAGCCCGAGTCGGCCACGCTGGTGCCGCACAGGTCGTCGGTCGGTATGTCGTCCGCGCTCGAGTCCGACGCCGCGCTCGCCACGGGGCTGGGAGGCCACCGGATGCGAGGCACGCCTGGGAAGGAGCAAAGAAAGGCACCAACACAAGCCTTCTACGGTCCGCGAGGATTTCTCGGATCCGCGCTGGACCCCCCTCTGGGCATCGCTCGGACGTCCATTCCCTGTGCTTTTTTGGTTTCGTGCGTGGTCTTCTCGCCAAATCATCAAGGATGCTCCTCGATGGCCCTCGCCGAAGGAAAAATGCACACGTCCGAGCGATGCCAGGGGCGGCGCCAGAGGCGCCGCCAGAGGCTCCGGCGCGCCGACCCAAGAACTCCGCGCGCACCGTCGATCATTGGAGCGCCCGCCGGTCGGAAGAGGTAGGTGTTAGGAGGCAGCTACAGTCGGGGCTGACCTATGGAACCCAATTGGTAGCGTCCAAAACCCGGAGAGCGAAGAGACCCTTTGGGGACAGGAAATCTTTCCTGGAGAGCTCTGGGAAGCTCCCCTGCAGCGCTGCCGAAGCGCTGGCAGAAACTCTTCCATGCGTGCCTGCACGCGTGCAGGCACGCGTGGAAGCTTGCCGGAAGCTCTCCCGGACCAGTTGCCGGGTCGAACGAACCGCTGCGAGGATTCTGGAGCGACGGAAAGGAGCTCCTGGCGGGCACCACCACCGTCCGGCTTCTAATCTTAAACCCTTTAGCTCTCAGCGAGCTCTCCGGGAAAATAAGGAACGAGGCCCCTTTTTTTCCATAAGTTAAACTTCGATGTCATATCGAAAAGCTGGGGAAAACCTGAGGCAAGCTGCGAAACACTTAAGGAACGCGGAGCCCCTCCCCAACGAAAAGGGTTCCTTCTTCAGGGCCCCGACTGTACTGGGAGGTCTTCGTCGGAAAGATTGAAGAGGATTAGGCCCCATTTGGGAGCTATTACGCCAGAGTGGGCCTCGGATTCAGTGGGATGAAGCCGGATTAAGCGGGATCAAGCCGGATTAAGCGGGATTATAAGCCAGATTAAGCCGGACTTCGGACCAGTGCAAAATCAGATTTTGACCTCCCAGGAGTTGCATCCCAATAGGTGGAAGCATGAAGCAGGAAGGCGGATCCAGTAGATTGGGTTCGCGTCCACCCAGAGAAGCACAGAAGACGAAAAAAAAAACTGCGACTCTGGAACTATGGGAAGGCGCTCGAGACAGACTGGGACCTGGATCCCCAAATCGGGAGCGGCCAAGAGGGGGGTCTCCAAGAGGGGGGGGTGCAAATCATGACCGGCGGCATGTGCGCGGCCCAGCGGGGGGGCCAGGGACGTAATGAAATAAGAAGGGGCGCCATGAAATCTGGGGAAATATCATGGCCCCCGCCATGATACCCACCCCCCCCTAGTCATCACCCCCCTCTTTTCCGCCCCCGACCAAAGCATGCCTACTTCCAACGACCGGTTTTGTTCTTCGCGGGCCGTCGCGCTCCGAGCGCTCCCACGAGCCGCTGGGCGCGGGCGGTGCCTTCGGCGGTGGACAGCCCTCCCTTTGGCAAGCCTCCCCTTTCGTGAGGACGGCCGAGGGCCGGAACCGACGGACCGGGACCCGCAAGAATGACGGCCGCGACGACGCCCTCTCGCGAACCGAAAATGGCCAATTCGCTAATCGCCGTGTCAGGGCAGGACTCAGTCGGGCCTGTTCCCCCCACATGCCGATTTTCGGCGAAAAATTCAGAATAGCCACAACATGCCCCCCGAAATGGTGAAAAGTAGTGAAAAAAAGCGTCCCCATACTATTTTTTCATTCTTATTTTTGAATACTCCTCCTGCAGAGGGGCAGGCCCGACTTCAGGGCAGGAGGTCTGCCCACCCCCGATTCAAGCAGTGTCGAAGCGTCCCGGCTCGCCTATAGCCCCACCAAACAATGTTCTAAGAACCTGTTTTGTGGTTCCCACGAAATGTTCTTCGAACATTTCTGGATGGCACTGCCTTGCTTCAACACATCGGGCTTATGTTATAAGAACATTGTTTTTGCTCTCAGAACATTCTGTGGGGTTCTAAAATCGGGAGCGGCCAAGAGGGGGGTGTCCAAGAGGGGTGGGGGGGTGCAAGTCATGACCGGCGGCATGTGCGCGGCCCAGCGGGGGGGCCAGGGACGTAAAGAAATCAGAAGAGGCGCCATGAAACCTGGGGAAACATCATGGCCCCCGCCATGAAATCCGCCCCCCCCCCCTCGTCATCACCCCCCTCTTTCCCGCCCCCGAATTTAGGGCTTCTGAGAACATCCCGTGGCAGGACTAGAGGCATGCCGGGACGATCGGCCCCTGCTCCGCCGACGCCTCCGCGCCCTGCGGCCTCGGCGCGGCCCCGCCGGCCCGGCCCGCCGCCTCGCGCGCGCACCCCTCCGCGGGCCCCGCCGCCGCCGCCGCGCGGGCCGCGGGCAGGGCGAGCGGCCCCTCGCGTGGGGCCACGGGCTCCACACAGGGGGCGACTCCGAGGCAGAGAGGCGAACTCTCTCTCTCTCTCTCTCTATATATATATAGAGTCGGGGCGTTGACCTAAGGAAGCTCAAATAAGGAACGAGGCCCCTTTTTCCCAGAAGTGAAACTTCGATTTCCCATCGAAGCCCTAAGCAAAACCAAGGGCGAACTGCAAAACAACTAAGGAACACCGAGCCCCTCCCCAACGAAAAGGGTTCCTTCCTCAGCGCCCCGACTGTACACCGACGCTTTTCCCGACCCTGCGCTGTTTCCCCAGGACATCGGGGGAAAAATATACACACCACACCACCCCAGCGCCGTCCTCGACCCTCAAGAAGTCCTGGGACTGAAAAACGGCCCGCCACTGGCAATGTATATGCTCCGGTTTCAGAGGGAGGGTTTCTCAGAATCGAGGGAGCACGAACATGGCTTGGGCGCGGAAAGAATGGGCACAATGCCCAACAACAACTGTTGTCCCAAACCAACAGCGGCCGCTGTTGGGCAGGCGGCCCTCTGTCTCGAATGTACACAGGCCGCGGCGACACCGACAGCCAGTCCTGTTCCAAATGAGCAAGAACTGCTGTTGGGCATTGTACCCATTCTTTCCGTACCCATGTCGGCATTGTACCCATTCTTTCCGATTCCGAAGCAGAGAAGCGAACTCTATGCACCGACGCTTTTCCCGACCCTGCGCTGAGATGCGCACAGGAGCGCGGATTCTGGTGTATACGGGATCATGGTGTATAAATTTGTCGGCGTTTCCCATGGAAAGCGGGGGACAAGTATACACCACACCACCCCGACGTCGCCCCTGACCCTCAAAAAGTCGCGGGATTGAAAAACAACCCGTTACTGGTAATGCATCTGTTTCAGTTTGCGACGAAGGGTGTGTTTTTTTCGGGCCAGACGAAAAGGGGGGGGATAGCAAAGGAGGGTTCGAGAATCAGCTCACGCAACTGGTTTTCACGGCGCCTCCCGGCGCCGGAGGCGGCCATGGATCGATGAATGGGCCCCTCGATGGGGCCGAAACCAGCTACATGCAGCAAATTTCGTAAGCCCCCCTTTCCCTATCCCCCGTCTGGCCCGATTTTTGCAAAGCCCAGAGATCCAACGCATGGAAAAAATCAAGACGGAGGTTT